CTCTCTCTTTATCAGTCTGCCCCCTGCTGGTCATTTGGATAATAGAGAACAGCAGCACCCACTGAGGATGGCCGATAAATTATCGCTCATGATATATCATCAGAAAAATCCTCTATGATCAATATTTGCCATCTCATGAAAAATACAATAAATGCAAGTTGACGTAAGCGCGAGCGGTGGACTGGCAGCCATCGCCCACACAGAGCAGAATAACAAACAAACATGGCCGAAGGTGGTGAAGAAGACAACGTTACTCCAGTCTTTACTGTACATAAGCAGCTCCTTCTCCTCCTCAATCGCAGTCTATTCTTTGGAAACAACTGAACAAACATCTCACAGAGGAGAGGAGTGGGAGTTAATAAGTTGTTGTGAGGCGGCGGCGGTGGCGGCGGCGGCGGTGACTAAAGTGCAACAAACTCCCGGTTAAAGTAAAAACACACATTCAAACACAAAATATGCACAAAGGCACCTCCAGAGCCCCAGATGAAGAGACAAACAGGAGGAAATATGCACAAACACACTCACACACAGAGTGAAATCAGAGTGGAATCGCAGCCAACCTGAGCCTACAGGCTTATCTTCACCATGTGTCGGTAAGTCGCGCACACACACACACACACACACACACACACACACACACACTAAAACACCGACACAGAAACACACTCAGAGATTTTCCAGCTGGTGAAATCAAGCTGGCTTTGTGACTATAAGTCCTGAAAATTAGATAGCTTGCCGCTACTGCGCCCTATTGAGGGATCACACACAAAAACACAGTCACACACACGTGTACGCGTACACACTCGCAGATTATAAAGACACCTAAATCTTCTCTTTCTCCTGTTCCTGCCTCACTGCACTGCTGGCATGTGCTGCTGCAGACTTGATTACATTCATATGGCTGTGTGTGCGAGTCTGTCAGAGTGTGCGTGTGCGTGTGTGTGTCAGAGTGTGTGTGTGTGTGTGTGTGTGGCCTGATCCTTTGGATTTCCAGAATCACCGTTGCAATCTGTTGCATAGACGGATGGATGGATGGAGGGATGGATGGAGGAAGGGGAGGATGGAAAACAGCGCAGGAAAAACTAATTACTGAACAGAAGGTCCTTGGACTAAGACACACACACACACACACACACACACACTGTCCCTCTGAGACTGACCCTCCATGTTACACACGTGCAGTGAAGGATGGGTTACCCCCGTCCTCTTCAACCTTTACCTCCATAAAAATAACAGCCCTGTGATTGGACAATCATCGCGCTGCAGTCACCTCTGCTGTCGTAAAGGTGAAATACAATTGGTCACTTTGTGAAAGTCAAGGATTCACCCTGAAAGCTCGACCGAAGGGCTGGAGATCAAGGATGGACCTTTTTCCTTCTACACACACACAAACAAACACGCACACGCACACACACACACACACACACACACACACACAAACACACACTCATTCATGCATCCGAGATAAAACACAGATTTATACGTGCAAACTGGAATCGTCCATAAATCTAACATGACCTTATCTTTTTACTGCAGGGATGTTTTTTTTGTGCCACAAACACTTCCTGGTACTTATCCTGCAGATACGAGCGACAGCGAGGAGGAATAATCTGTGCGGTGAATAAACAACACAGTCAAGTCCTCATCGGGGCGACTGCATGAACGCCGGGAAAAGTTAGTTTCAGCAAATAAGCAACGCCGTCTCACTCTGCAGGGTTTTATTTCACCTGTTGGTTGGAGGTCTGGGTAGGGCTGGGCGATACGGCCTCAAATCAATATCACAATATATTGATCAGTTCACCTTGATAACGATAAATGGACAATAACTACTCCACAAGCTGCTCACCCCCTCCCACATTAACTTCGTCTTCGTCCTCCATCTCCTCACCTGTCTCTCCCTCTTTGTTACGGACTTGATGGGGTGGAGTCACATCTTTAAGGGACATGAGACCATAGCCTACCAACACACATCCAAAACAAACTTTTATTATCTGAATATACCGATACGGGCAAAATGACGTCAGTTATTGTTGTAAATTTCAGTATTGGTAAATTTCCGGTTTATCGCCCGGCCCTAGGTCTGGATATATCAGCCGCACTTTCACACCATTTAAACGTCGTTCAATGAAGTAACATCAGGTTATTTAGTGTTTCCCATAGCTCTTTCGCTTTGACATAGACATCATACAAGGCGGCGAAAGATGAGCCAGCACTGTTTTCGGAGCTGGGAGAGACACTTAAGCTAGCATCCACAAGACATCGTGCAGCGTCCACGTCACCACGTATCGTCTTTTTTGAGAATGCAGATATTTTCTTTTTAAGTATTTTCTTGAGTGATTTTTTCCTTTACAAATGGGGCAGTGTGGAAATATGGGGAGACTCGAACCCACAACTGCTGCAGGGACCATGGTCCCAATGCATGGGGCGCGTTAACCTGCTAGGCCATCTGCGCTCCCAAGAATGCAAATATTTTCAATTGGGGTTCTGAATGTTCGGAGACAGTTTGGTGCTTCATGACCCAGAACATGGATGGTCAAAACCATCCTGCGCAAAACTGGCAGGGTATGAGTGGCGAGCATTTCAACCAGAATACCAGAATCAGTGGGTGTGGCCTCTAAACTACGTGGCACAGTGTGTCTTTATTCTGGAGTCAGGAGTGAAAATGTAGCAAACGCAGGAACGAAAACAAAAATAAGAATCTTTTGGTTACTATTATCTGTTTGTATTGAGACTAACCTAAATAAAAAAGTTAGCACTGCATGTAAAGAGGCTTTAGGCAAGGGTGACCATATTCTAACTTCCCAAAAAGAGGACACGATTACACAGGGGCGGAGTCATGGAGTCACACGAGTTAATTTTGAGAGTTTTTTGGGTTTGACCGAGTGTCTTTTAGGCGCTTCTATCTCAGCAAGTCCACGTGACACAAACCCGAAACCTCCGTACAAAACCAGGGATATTTGAAGGAGACGGCCCCCAAAAAGAGGACATGTCCGGGTAAAAGAGGACGTTTAGTCACCCTACTTCAGACTGATTTGGGACGTGTCTTTGCCACTCAGTTCGGTCTTTTCTCATCTTTCTCTTGAGCTGTCCCATCTCAAAATTATTTTGAGACACACAAAAAACATCCTCACAAGATCTCACCTGCGAGGGTCAGTCCTCATCAAATATGGAGGAGACCGTCTCTCCGCTCACAGAACCAAGGCTGCGGTAAAGGTTCACATTTGGTATTTTCCTCATGGCGAGCTGAACTGCACCTCGGTGACAGTTCAAATTTACTCTTTGCTTGGTGTCATTACCAGCAGAGTGCTGTCACAGTACTCACACCGTGATTTCAAGCTGTAAAGCCACATAAAATAATATTGCTCTTGTTTTATATGCGTATCAAATGGGTGTCTTTGGTATGCAGGGTCATAAACAGCTCCCTAATTTGTAAAAAGGCAACAGTTTGTTTTTCCAGCCGAAATCATGCAGATGATTTTCTGTCCCCGTAATCCTCACGAGATGCGGCTGCTTTGGGGTAAATCCCTGAGTCCCAATAAATCCACCTGCTCAACCCTCCGATTCCATAAAAACAACTATAAATCGAAGACGAGGACGAAGCCGGGGATGTTTAAAAGAGCCGCATAAAAATGTTTTATTCAGAATAAATCAAACCAATTACAGGATGAGACAGATGTTTCCAGAAAACAACAGAAACACAGGAGACTTCTTCTGTTTGTGCAGAAAAAGTTTGGAAATGTTCGACTGGAAAAATTATTCAAATTACAGACAGAGTTAGTCCAGGCAGGCCGCAAAGTCTCTCTTTAACTCTCAGAAAATAAAGCCACACTATTGATTGATTTTTGATTGATTACTGTCTTTGCTGCTGCTCTCCCTGCCTTAATTGGCTTTTCATTCATACATGTAAAACAGAGTGATATTTAAAGAGATGGTTCTGAATGGTCTGTGTATTATCCGTCCATTAATTATTCCATTCAATCTAGTAAACGAAAAACCAAAAAATGAGTCAATATTTTGTTTATTTGTTTTTCTATAAAACCAAAAAATAAAAAAGTAGTGTTTGTTTTTGTATTTTTAGCTCAAAACAGAATATATAATAGAGAAGGAAACGAAAATGAAATAATAAATCTTATTTATAATAATTGATTTTGAGTGCGCCTGTTTTTGGGCCTTCCCATGATCCTCAGGGACAGTTACCAAGCGGTTCAAGGCCAAAATCTTAACAGAGCTCTGGTTGTAATTTTTTCAACACTCATATCTTCCTCCTTCAGCGTGACCCTCCTGGCAGCTTTAAATAATACGTAGGTTGCGCCCGTCTCCATGACAACAGGGTAGCCTTTCTCTACCGCTCTGGGATGGAGTTTTCGGTCCACGTTGTTGTGAACAGTAGAAAGGCACCATGGGAAACGGGGACGTCAATAACCCAAAAAGAAAAGTAGATTTATTATTTTGTCGTCGTTTTCTTCTCTATTATATATTCTGTTTTGAAATGAAAATACGAAAAACAAACATTAATTTTTATTTTTTTGGTTATATAGAAAAACAAATAAACAAAATATTGACTCATTTTTTTGTTTTTTCTCGATTGAATGGAAGGATAATACATGGATCCCTCTGAATTCATGTATCATCCAGTCATTTGATTTTCCAAATAAAACCAAAAGTGTAAAAATGAAAAAACAAATTGTTTTCTAAATAGTCGTCTGTAAAACAAAAATGATAAAAACGGATAACGGCTCATTTTCCGATTTCAGTTTTCTTCAGCTCAAATGAAAATGGGATGAACGGATAACAACAGTTTTATCTGAATTAGACTTTTACGTCTGTAGAAAGTTTCATGACCCTGAAGTGAAACTTTGACGTGATGGCTGGACCCGAGAATTCTTCAGAGCTCATACAGAACTTTTTTCAAGACGGCAAAACTCAAGCAGAGATTTCCACTGCGCTGCAGGAGGCGGGAGTGTTAAGGTGCTCTGAAATATCTTTAAGAAGGTTCTGTCCTCAAAACCTGAGGAGAAAAGGACACGTATCAGACACATAGCTGGAGCCGTCCACCATGAAACTTTCTACAGACGAAAAAGTCGAAATCAGATAAAACTGAAATTGGAAAATGAGGCGTTATCTGTTTTTTAATTTTCGTTTTAGAGACGAATATTTAGAAAAAAATCATTTTCTCGTTTCCAATAATCGAACCTGGAGCTGAAGAGTGAAGGTGACTGTAAATTAAAGTTAAATCAAGTTTGATTTTCAGACTCTTGGACTTGTATCCAACCTTTCTATTAACCTGCATGTAAGACTTGTGTGTCTGTGAAGCTTTAGTTCACAAAGAGGATAGCGGCTTTGTTCAAATGAGATCGCCCGGCGCCTTGTTTTGTGAATCTGTGTGCAGCTCGTGTCGCCGCTCCAGCCACCAGACGCCGGGCTGTGTCTAGACTGCAGTATGAGCTCTGCGGCGTCTACCTGTCCAAATATCTTTAAAGAAATCTACCGGGATGCCGAGTCCTGCAGGCTGCTCCAGGTGCATCTCACTTGCATCTTTTCTGAAGCTGTGAGCTGTATTTTAACGTCGACTGATACAGACAGGAAAGGATTGGAATCCAATTTCACTTAATACTCCACCTTTACAAGCAGTCCTGGGAAATCAGGTTTTTAATCCCTGCTGGTTGTGTGTTGTGGCTCAGGGCCCCACGGAGTTGAGATCTAATCTGGAGTTGTTGGTTTGTTTGCTGTGGAGCTTCACACCAGGTGGAACCGGAGGATCTCGTGCCTGATATCTGTCACAGGTGTCCACACGGGATAATGCTGCTATCAGAAAAAACCACTTCCTGCCTGTTTGACGCCATGAGATCGACTTCTTTCCAGATTTTTATTAATAGAGTGGCTTTAAAAACCTTCAATCCACAGGAAACACAAGCTTTCAAAAAGCACGGATGAGAATCATCCAGGTATGATAGTCCGACAGTTTCAGTTGGACGGACTCGGTAAGTCTGATGGACCCTCCTCTGCCTGCATCTGGACATCCTGTTTCGAGGCTCTCTGTCCCATCTGCCTGACCCCGGCTCGTCTCGTCTGCTCACATGTGTCGCAGGTACATTAAATCAAAGTGTGTGAATTAAACTGGGAGGATTGTATTTTTATTTCCCAGCATGCCTTCCTCATGGCGTGAATACTCGTGAGCGTGCTTCTCCTCTGTTTCCCTCTCTCCTCTCCTGAAGCCTGACTCTGTGCATATGAGACCTATTTCTCAGCCTCCATCTCCTCCTTCGGCCATTAGTCTGTCTGTGCCAGTTCATCAGACCATCATTCAGTCTGTAAGTAAGTCTGCCTCCACGGCAGGATGTCCATTATTTCATTTCTTCCTCTTTCTCCGTCATAATGCTGCCGCTTCTCCTTCCATCTATCCATAACGCGTCCAATTTCACACTTTCACTGTCAGGACATGCACTTAATTACATTCCCAGCCTGTTTTTTTCGCCCACACACACACAACATGAGCAGCGTGGATAATGCTAAAACTTCCTCATCGAATCAGCTCCCTGAGGACCGACACCGGTGGGCGGGACTTGAACCAAAATCCTCCATCTGTTATTTTCACATATGAGCTATAACTCACATTGCATTCAGTTTTAACACTTAAAGGGATATTCCGGCATAAAACTTTAGTAACGACCACAAGATAGCAATACAGAGAGCCACGCGCTCAACCAAAACGCCACTCCATAAACACAAATAATGCTCAGAACAGCACCTAACTTCATCAACAGGACATATAGGGTCACAGACATAGTACTAGACACCAAACATCTTTTTAACTTCGACTAATTTCTTTAAAAAGGGACTAAAAACAACTCTCACTCACCTACTCTCCATCAGACCGAGACGCTAAGGCAGAAGAACTACCGTGTCTGCAGTGCAAAATGATTAATATGGTGATTATTACTTCAAGAAAATTATAAAGAAATGATCATAAATGTTCTTCCTTGAGCTGCGTCACCCCGCTGTAGTCGATGTACTCGCCGGAGGTCTCCGTACAAACAAGCGGCTGCTGGAAGAGAGTAGGTGACCAACAAAAACCAATAACAACTTCACTTAAATCTGCGAAATCTGTGAAAAGAAACTACAGCAAGTCTAACCCCCAATTTCCACCGCATTCGGAACGGCTACAAAAATATCGAATCTGCCGATCGTAGCTAATCGTAACCACTCAAGTTAATGAGTCAATTTCCACCCGCTTCATTCCATTCGGCTGCGGATCACCAGACTCTCCATGTGATCGCTGGAGCATGCCGGTCAAATTCAGCACAGATTAACCCGTGCTGGAAAGGAAGTCGGGCACAGACACAAAATAAAACATCCGGGTTCTTTTCAAAATAAAACACTCCATGTTTCAGGCGGATCGTATTTCACACCATGCAAAGGGACAGCACACCGACGTATTAATTGAATAATTGGCTCCTGAGAGCTTCACCGCAGCAGCGAAGATCTCCTTACTCTGAATATACATTTAAACTGTAAAAACAGGTCTGTTTAATCTGTACAAGTTTTAGTAGATTTAAAAATTATCTGTTTTTATCCATTGTGGTCTTGGCATCGATATGAATGTCAGTCTGATTCATACACATCAAAAAAACTCCTTACAGGAGCTTTAACGGATCGTGGACTGGGTCGTCCCCTCATCATAAATAAAGGGAACATTGACTATTTGCCGCTTAAATGACTTTCCAAACATACTGAGTGTAGTTATTCATTACTTAAGTGATTTTTACCGTATTATTGACACGCTCCTTCTAGTGCAAACACGAGTCCCTCCTGTGGGCTCCACCTTAGAGTCCGCACTCCTCCTGGTACTCTCATGCTTTACTATTACCATTTAAATAAGTCAATGTTTGACATGCTAAATTAGGCGTTAAATCCTCGCAGGTTATCAAACATTGACGTTAGCTAAAATGAATGGTTATGAACATAAACGTGTCCTTACGTTCTCCTTTTAGCTCCTGATAAAGTGAAGTCCTCGAATACAGTTTGGGCTTTCCTTCAAAAAACAGCTGCACCCCCTCTCCTCTCCCCAAATATGGCGAACGGCAGGATTTCCCAAGTGGAAACGTATGTTGCATGGAGTTCCGGTTGCCAAGACAACAAGGATGTCGGGGCAACAAGATGGGCAGCTGTAGCGCTGAGGAACAGCTGTTCATTTGCAGCCACATCTGGCAGCTCTTCTCCTCGCCGTCCGCACATGCACACACATGCATACAACTCAGAGAGGGTCTCAGGAGAAGGGTGTGTGTGTGTGTGTGTGTGTGTGTGTGTGTGTGTGTGTTCATGACAACACATGCACGCTCCTTCACCCTCCAGGCCAACCTGATGTCACATTTACGGTGCAGCGAGAGCGGCGTGTCATCTTCGTTTTCAGGAATACGTCTCTGGTTTTATTGTTTTTGTGAAAAAAACATAATTATGTAAAACATCCATTCACACACTTGTAAAGCCAGAGTACGACGATGAGGCATGTTTGCATTCGAAGAACAGCAGCAGAGAGATAAGTGTGTCTGAGCAAACTAACTCTAGTCAAACACAGAGTACGAGGACCTGCTGCTGCTGCCAGGCTTAAGCGCAAAAATCAATAGTCCACAGCTGCAAGGGCCACTCCAATATAAAACACTCTCTTTAATACCTCCAGGCAGGGAAACATCTGCTGGCTGGACAGGCCTCTCATACACTTTTTATGAACTGTATATAGACTTATCTGATTTTTCCCTCCAACTTTCTGTTTCTATTTTTTAACTCTTGAATTTCTCTGTTCCTGCTGCTGTTACCGTCTTTAATCCGCCTCAGCCTGTCTGTCGATTACGTTCACCTCCAGTCTTCGCCGTTTTCTGTCCCCTTCAGATGTTCTCATTCGCTCCGTTCTGCATCATCTCACTCTTATTTACATCCGATTTTCATTGTTACTAGTTTCGCAACTTCGCTCCCAGCTGTTCCTCAATTAATTACATTTTTGTTGTTTTTTCCTCTTCAAGGTGAGGTAGGCAGGAATCCGTTTAAGAAGCATCTTTTTTTTTTGTGGTGTATATAGAAAAAAACTTTTAATATCAGTTATTAGTTATTGACGACATTTGGGAATATAACAATATTGCTGTGTTTTGTTATGTCTGTGTAGTCAACATTTTAAGTTTTTGAGCAGCCCGCTCTTTCTGACTGTAAACAAAGCCGTTCCCCGCCTCCCCCAACCAACCCCAATTGGTTGTGAGGCAGACGCTGCTCCCCCGTGTCGTTCACAAGCCCAAACAAAGTTAGCGTGCTACAATATCAGACAGTAGAAACCGACCAGAAAGTTCGGAAAATTGTCCGAATCCTCCTTTGGCCACGACTGCCGACACAAGAGAGAAAACAAAGTAAATACCGGAGACTCTGGAGGAATAACGGGCGCTTAAAACGGAGGTAGACCGGACAAGAGCTAAAAAGCCGGGGCAACATAAACGATGGGGGACGCTTGGGGATCTTGGTGACCCTGTAACCTTTCTGCTGGACAGGTAAACCGCTTTAACAAAGTAAGACAAGTGTCTGTAACAGAAGTGTTTCTTGTCAAACGGACCTGCTGTAGCATGTTGTAGCGCCATCGCTAAACTGTCCTCCCTCGGGTCCTGGACTATGTCACTTTATCCTAGTTGTAGAAGTCCTGCAAACATTGTGTTTGCTGGTAGTCTGTTGGCATCTACAGTAGCACCAATGCTTTTGACTTTCACCTTGACTGGGCCCCATTTGTAATGATCTGAAGTATTTATCTGCATTATATCTGAATTTAACTGGAACGATAGGAGCGAGCAGGAGCGTCTGTTTGTGGGCGGGGCTTAAGAGAGGGAGGGGAGGAGCTGAGGGGAAAACTGGTTGGGAGGGGTAGAGTTTACATTCAAGATTTCTCCTAAAAACTGGAACTTCCTCAGATCCTGACTACTTATCCTAAATTGGCCTCATCAGAAGAATAAGACTCTCTTCTCGTCTTGGACCAAATGCTCCTAAAGTTTGGTCTCCTTCCCGTCTCGGCGCCGCTGTTATCCCTGTTTTCATTTTGAAACTCAGAGAGGACGGGAAGCTTTATCAAGACCTTGAGGGAGAATGCAAAAATTACGACAGACAATGAATATCAGAGACATTGAGACGCATCTAAGCATTCAGAGACACAGATTCGGTTTTGGATGGTGTTGTTTTAAAATCGAGCGCTCTATGAAAGTGTGTTTTCTTACTTTAAGACGAGTCGACTGATGAGAATCTAATTTCCATCTTTGAAATGACTTCCTCTGGGTCCTCTGCGGTTTTCAAATCACTTGTTTGATTTTGTTTCCTCTTCTATATGTTATCAAACACTCGGCTTTCTTTATTTCACCTCCTCTAGATTTCCTAATTTTCCCGACTCCACATTATCTATTCACCCGGGTCGTCTGTTTTCCAGTATGATTCATCTCTTCTCATAACATCAAACCCTCTGTGATCTCTCGCTTACTGCACACATGTTTTCATCTTTTCCCACACATTGCCTCATCTTCATCTCGCACGCTTTCATGTCATCCCATCATTTGGAAATCTTCCTCCTCTGTCATCATCTGTCACCTCGCATCATCTTCTTCCCCCAATATCCCTGTTTTAAATTCTCCCTCTCTCTGTTCCTCCATCATCTCCGCCGCTCTTCTGTTCAATCTCATCCTCTCCTTCTGCTGCTGAAGTCTCTCATCTCTCTCCGTCTTTTATCTCCCCTTCGCTCTGCCCAAATACGCCGCTTCAATCCTCCAAGACAAAAGACAGAGATGGGAAGATGAAGCGCGTGTTCGTCCGTTTTCCGTTGAACTGCTTTTATGAAGTTTTCTCACAAGATCCGATTGAAAAGAATCGTTTTTGAGGGACAAGAAATCCGCCTCTTTTAAAGTGTCTGCAAACAAACTGATGAACGGCTCATAACTGGAGCGAATTCATCTTTTATTTCGGCAAATAGTGAGTCATGTGAGCTCTTAAAAATGACCGATTTATGACAACGCTGAAGCTTTTCTACATCGTACCAAGTGAAAACACACCTGTTTTTGATCCAAACTCAGGGATTTTTAGATGTTTTCTCCAAATTCGTGTTTTAGTGTTTCTTTGAAATCTTTGAGGCTTTGAACAGATCGTGTTTAAGTCAGAGTTAAGTGACGTTAACGGCTTTCAATGAGGAGACTGTTATCTACGACCACGTCAAACCAGCGGACACATCTGTGAGTTATACCTCAACGAAGCACGTTTGTCATCGATGGCAGAAGAAAAGATAAAAAAACAACAAAAGTCAGGGTAAGCAAAATCTGCTTTGTCCAGAGGGGGCGCCAAAATAGACACAAGCTGAGAGTTCCTAGAAAGTCCACTATAGAGGCTCTTATTTCGAGCTGGTTTGAAAATACACAAAACTTCTGTAAATGGCGCCAATTCGGAAGTTAAACAACACGACTGAGGCCAGCTGTCACTCACAACTACGACGCCAGAGGGATGGAAGATGGAGAGACAAAGTTCAGGGTAAGTTATTCGACAACAGAGGCGGAGTTTTAATTCATACCAAAGAAGTGGGGAAAAAATGGTTGAAAAGTGACGTTCCAGGGTCGTTTCCAAGATATCGAGCTTTACTATGAGTTTGTTAAAAAGAAGAATGAAGGAATGACCAGAACCAGCAGAACCAGGTGACAGACTGTTGGTTATTTAAATACAGATAATATTGTTGTTTTGTTTACACACAGATTTAAATTAATGTGTGAAAAAGACATAAAAAACAACTTTATTTTAAAAGGCGCTTACAACAAAGATTCTTTTATGTTTTATTTGATTTCTGTATGAAAAGATGGTTTTACAATCGGGGTTCATTATTCATTTTTATTTCATTTAATGTTGAATATATTATTTTAATCTGTATGCTGCAAAAGCTCGACTCTCATTTCTAGTAAAAAATGTGTCATTGAGGTTGATTAAAACCAAATTTACTTGACAAGTCCAAAAAAAGGACTTTTCAAGTTCCCTCTAATAGAAAAATGTCACATTTTAAGAACTTGACGAGTGTTTTTTTCTTTTTTTTTTATTCCACTGGCAGATTGTTATTACTCCTTTCTTAATTCTGACATGTAAAACATTTTTCTGTGCGGTTTTAAAGATCCTCTGAGCGGGTTTTAAATTCATACTGACGCCTTTTTATGATCTACAAAAGCAAGAAAAGGAAAAAGCAGCAACAAGCCCGATCATTTAACTAGAGTTGGTCGGTGTTTTGCATTTTCCACACAAGTATATCACAATAAATGATTGATGTAAGTGTTGAAGTAAGATTAACGAGGGTTTTTTAGTCAGCGTGTAAGTACAGCTTTGTCCACAGGGGGCGCCAAAATCAACACAAATCAAAAGTTCTTATCGGAAGCTTTAATTAAACCTAATAGGACTTTTTATTTCCAACAAGCAATAAGACAGATACACCTGCAAAAAGTTAGAGAAATAATTTTGCTCTTCGCACTTTAATGCAAAATTTGAGCATAATTAAAAAAATTCTGCAAAATTAAAGTCATCGCACATGTCGAACTGACACCAAAGAGGCGCAAAGACCGCCAGATTCTGCAGCTTCAAGAAGACAGAACAAGCTGCATCATTAGGAATACAGATCCTAACGAACAATAACTGCCTCTAATATTGTATTAAGCCTGAAGGTTGTTAAGCTAAAGATGTGTGTGTGTATACGTGTATGTGTGTATGTGTGTGTGTTTACAGTAGGGTTACATAAACAGTTAAAGTGATGGCGGGTGTCAAAGCAGCACAATAACATTGTTAGACGTTTGTAATAAGTCTTTATGTAATGTTTTATGAAGGCTCAAGGGGGCGGCTTATGACATCAGCCGAAAGTGTCAAACAGTATTATCTCAACACAAGCCGAGCAGCTGACAACCACACACACACACACACACACACACACACACACACACACACACACACACACTCAGATGAAGCATAGGCACAAACTGGAAAACTTCCAAATTGCAGGACAAGGTCACTCAGCCTCAGTGAACACATATCAAGCCAATCCACTCATTTACTCTCTCTCTCTCTCTCTCTCTCTCTCTCTCTCTCTCTCTCTCTCTCTCTCTCTCTCTCTCTCTCTCTCTCTCTCTCTCTCTCTCTCTCTCTGTCTGTGCGCTGAGATTTAAAAAGCTTCGGGCTTATTTAGAGGTTTAAGGAAGCTCTATATGCGGTCCATTCAAGATCCAGACCTCTGCTTACAGAAAGGTTCACGCCTGCTTTCAGAAACACAGAATAAAATCCATCCAAAAGCTCTGAGAGGAGAGGAAAGAAATAAAAACAGTGTTTTCTTTCACCTCCGGGTCAGTTTGGCTGTTCGGATAAACACACAAAATTAACCAGATCATATGCTGGAGGTGTTTTTTTCTCTCGCTCTCCCCAAACATCAGCAGAAAACAGCGGGTCATGGTGTCAGCTCCTTGAGGGCAGGTGCAAGCACTTCTCTTGTAGCTTGCAAGATTGCTGCGCCCGCAATCAACATCCACACCGAGCGAGAAATCAATCACAGAGGAGCCGAAGACACCAATTTCTCCTCTGACGGCAGTTTCAATAGACCAAAAAGGTAAAGGGAGGAGAAAGTGAGACAGAAGCAACTCTCTTAAAGTCTGTTATTATGCTATCTGGATCGTTCGGTCCTGAAACTGCAGGAAAGAAGAGGTGTAAGTAAATCCCTACACTCGATCGTAACTCTTTCATGAGACGTCAGAGCATCAACACTTCTCCGGGGTGAAATCTTCCTCAAACCGTGCTCCATGATGAGGCTAAAAATAAGAAGCGGCTAAGTTGGTGGAACCGCATCTCAACCCACGTGTAGCTCGTGGGCTGTTTTTCTGCTGGCAGGTCGCGGTTTGTGTCGAAGCTAAAGCTGATTAAGATTTTAACAGCTTGTTCCTGTTTTAATGTGGAACTGACAGAATCTGTGGTCAGTGTTCGCAACAGGGAAGCGATTAAGGACGACACGTCTGTGGTTTCACACTCTGCATTTCCAGAAACTGAATTATTCCACCTGATTCATTCGTTGGTTTAGGCAGGGTAATCTTGTTGGACCGGAGGAATTAGAGGCTGTCACACGGGGCCAGAAACTGAACAGAACGCCCCGAACCTGATGGTTGACAGTCTTTTTAACCGCGAGCAGGAAGGATTTAACATTCAGAAAACACAGTCGAGAGAGGCAGAGGTGTAAGAAACAAAACAATATAAGGCTTAGCTGAAAAAGGAGGAAGTGAAAAACAACATTTTTTAACCATTACGACACAACCTCATTCCTGCGGCTGGATATGATGGTGGAGAAATAACCAACGAGGAAGGGAAAGAGGCGAAGACGACAAAAAAAACTCAAAACTCAAACTGGCGACGGTGAGGAGAGAGATTATCTCCAACAAATCCACTCCGAGTCAAATCTTTGAGACTCTTATTTTACTGCTTTATGATAAAAAGATCCATTTTTGAGTATTTTCCTACAAAAACACTCTTCTCTGAGTCTTTACTGACTTGTCTTGAACATGAGGGCGCTCGATATGAATCCAAACTTGACCCGTGTAGGCTGAGGTTCAGAGGGTCGTGTTTGAGTCTTTATTTCAACATCAGCTGTTTGCAACCAAACCGTATCTCCTGTTTTGTAATCAACTTCCAGCAAACATGAACACTCAGCCAGACGAGGATGTATTCAGAAAAGATGTTCTTACCTGCGATGGAAATCAGCAGAAACGGCAGCAGCAGTAACATGGAAGAGAAAAGAGAAAGAAAGTCCGGTTAGATTCAAGGTCCTTTAAAACCACAAAGTCAGCATGTAAACGTGCCGTTAAAGCGCCACAATAGCTCAGCGAAAGGCCTTCTCTGTGTTCGACCATTATGAGCGTCCGCGTCAGCAAAAATCTGAATGTAAAGCCGCTAATAAGAACAGTATTTCATGTTTAGAGGGACGATGTTTGCATAAATTTGACCTTTAAGATGGAGGTCAGCTACAGTCCCTGCTCGCTCTCTTTTCCTGTTTCTTCTCAGCTCACTTTCTTACCCTCCTCTCTACTGAGTATTTTCACAGTGGTAGTTACTATTAAGTATCTTATCCATAAAAGACCCCAGTAATTGACCTATCACTAAGCCCCACCCCTTGAACGCAGATGAGCCAATGGCAGTTTAGTATCAGTTGCACTCGGACATCTGTAGCTCTCAGTTCCATAGAGAAGCATTAGAAGTGATTTTTCAACTGTTTTATGGCGCTAATTTTAATATAACAGAAAAAAACATAATAAAAAAAAAAAAGGTGTGCATGGTGTAGATGTAATTCTGACACAAGGTATCCCGACAGGATGGGTGATGGGGTGTATTTTCTTCCATTTCCAAAACTGAAGAAAGACCAAAGTAAATGTCGACTTTGGACGGCCAACTTAACGTCAAGCGGACCAACAAGGATGTCGACGTTTGTTCTACGGTAAGTCACACCAACATAGCTTTAAATCTACTAACTTTACCCACAGTTATTTAATCGTCATTAGCGATGTAGTGACAGAGCTTTCACCTCTGGTGAATTACCTATCACTAGCTAGCATAAGTGGTAGCGCTAGTAAGCATCAGTGCTAATGTTCATGCTAACATATATTCGTTCTAACGTTAGCTAAAATTGGCAGAATGAAGTCCCTTTTGAAGGCCTCTCCAAGAAATCAGATCTGTCTGTGTCCAGAATTTGTCGAGACCCATTTGGGGTAATTGTAAAGCACAGCTCAGCTCCGATTGTTTGTCTGAGATAGCAACAGTAACTAAGGGGGGCGGGGCTTATTGATAGATTAATTGGACAACCGATGCCAAAGCCAGGCTACAGCTTTAACAGACAGAGCCGAGTCTACCCTCCAAAACTCTAAAAACTCATCTTGGTTTGAGTATGAGGTCTAAAAACATGAAGAGTTACCTGGTCTGAAGTTACCTGGTGGTGTAGGAGAGTAAACCACCAGCTAACGCCAACATAAGAAGAAAACCACCAACTGCCTCAAGTCAAGTGCAAATCTACCAGACGTCACACAAGACTGCAAGCTGAGGCATCTGATGCTTAAAGTTGCACGAAACTGGCGTGTAAAAATGTATCCAAATTCATCACATATGAACTGGGACTCAAACATTATAGATGTAATCAGATGATTGCAAAAACAAACGGTGAAGCCAAAGTGTTGGAAATGTTCGCAGTGGATCAAACACTTAAGCTGAGATGATAGCTCAAGTCAAAGTAACTCAGAGTTAACTCAGAGTTGTGGTGGACTCTGGAGAAAGCTGTAGCCGAGCTCGGGAACCAAAACCCAAAACATTTTCTCATGAAAGGGGCGGAGCTGAAAGGTAAACGCTAATCAGAGACATGTTACCCATAAAACCTCACTTATCAGCGTTCACTTTCACTTTATTGTGAGTTTATTGCGTGTACACAGGTGTGACTTGGCTGGATATGACTCAAACCCCAAACCCTCGCCGCTTCTTCTCTGTAAACCCCGCCCTTCCTGTCATTAGCAGTGGCGTGTGGTTGTATCAGACTGCGTGTTTGTTTAATGCCACACATCACCTCTTATCCTGTTGAAACAACCGAGGTCATCCAACCTGACTGCAGCAGGATTTCCTTTTGCAGAGCGCACGCACACACACATTAACACACACACTAACACACACAGGATGTGATTACACAGCAGAAAAACGAGAGAAAGGTACTCACACGTACAAATCTAAACCCACACACGGCACAGTCGTCCATAACAGTTTAAGTGAATCTGAAGAAGGAAGGTTCATTAACGGCATCGACAAGGTAAAGTGCCACTTATTCTGATTGGTCAAAACTGCCGCCGACCATTCCAGCTAACTTTCTCCCGGGTCTGCTTTGAGAGTTGCCATGCCAACTCTTAAGGTATCCGAGGCAACTGCCGCGTTTATCTGAGGTCAAATCTATAACCACAGAAGAAGATGTGACGAATATACACCGTAGTTCTTTTTTTTTTTTTTAGTAAAATGAAGAAAAACTGCCGCACAGACTCAGCTCCGCTCTCAGGAGGTGATGGAGGTGAAGGTCCGAGCTCTATTATTAAGACCTTGCATTCTCATCAGTACCAGGGAAAATTCCAGACATTCGCAGCAAACGTGGACTTCAGGTTTAAAAAGTAAAAACTAAAATGCTGCTTCGTCAGACTTTGATTTTGAAGTGTTTTCATTGAACCTGCCACAGGTTAGATTTCCCCTCCGATGAGAGCCTGTTTACTCTCTTTAATACATTTTAATTTGCCGTCGTGCCCTGCAGAAGGTTTCAGGCTATGACTCAAAAGCTGAATATCTGCTCTCTCTGACAATAACTCTCTAAACTGCTGTAAATGATCTCAGTTTCACAAGTTAAAGACAAGTCCTGGCTGTCAAAGCAGGTCCAGTATCTTACCAAACAACCAACAGCTGATCCTCACACCTCCTGGTTCCACTGTTGACTACTTTAGCTATTTCCCTTAAAGAGACGTCGACCTGTAGTGTACTCTCACCCACTATCTGCAGAGTACATAGTGTTACCGTCTGGGCGCCTGCAAGCCCACCTCACCTCTAAGGTTCGGTTACAGGTTCCTTTGTCCCTACCTCCATCAGCCTACTGATAGATGCTGAGGAGGTAGACCGAGGAGGTGGATCTAGATTTAGATCTTAGCACTTTAACTTCATGTGCAATCTTAGTACTTGGTGTTTTTTTTTTAGTATTTCTGCTATTTATATCTTGTATTTTGTATCGTTCTATGTCTTAATGTATGTCTATGATGCTGCAGCCAATTTGCCCCTCGGGGACACTAAATAAAACTGAACTCTGAAACATTCAGATCATCTCATATTGATCCTTGATGGATTAAATCACTTTTATTGTGATTTCATGAATCAAACAGTACGGCACCATGTGGTATTGTACACTGTTGTATATTCCTGTATCCTACTGTATTGTAACTATCGTATCATTTCGGATCAGACTGTGTTGAATAGTTTCAGACTTCATTGTGTCCTAACATATAATACTGTATTGTGATTAGGAGTGGGCATTTTGAGACGGTCCCTTAATCGATTAATCATATAAATTAACGATCCATCATCAAATACGCAAAAAAACGTATTCTTTCTCATTGAAATACCCTCGGCCCCCCAACTGTTGTTCCGCACTGCCCGCTACACGCTAACTCGCGCTTCCTACCTGCCCGGCTGCCGTAGTAACCGCTGTTTTTTTCTCATTCATGAAACGATAAAATCAGGGACCTTTTTCAGGACAACTTTAGCCACGGGCAAGTTGTCCAAATCAAAGATATCTGGTCACCCTACAGTTCGTCCTAGAGAAAAGGAGCTGATGGTTGGTTGAGACTAAGAGACACTCGGAGGATTCATGAACCTCAGTCAGATGTACGTGGTTCAGGTGGAATACCATTGGGGTCGTTGTCGTGTTTTATGTGTTTACCACACTTCGTCCTGCTTTCTCCATGTTTTTTCTAACTTCTAAGGAAGTCCGCTGACACTCTCCTTGTAAAATGTCAAAATCCTTCCGTGCGCTGATAGTTAGCATTGCTTGAACACACAAACACTGACAGGAAAAAGAGGGTGTCCCTCCCGATCAGCAGAGGTTGATCTTTGCTGGAAAGCAGCTGGAGGATGGACCGCCCTTTTTTTCAGAATGTTAGATCGATCGATCATTGAGTAATTCTGCCCATTCCAAATCGTGATGACACACCATCATATTAAACCCTGTATTGACCCAGATGTGAGACAGCGGGTTAAACGGGTTAAACAGGATTTAGTGTAAGATTAGCCTCTCTGTTATCGTCCTACATCATAAACACTCGTATAGAAGTGTTTTACACCAGATTCCAGTCAATCCAAATCCTCCTGATAAAAACCCTTGTGCAGACAGCTGGACTGTGAAAGCGCCGTATACCAGACCGGATCAGACTGTTCTGTAATGTAACATCCAGACTCTGTGCAGCGTTCACACTGGTCCCAAGTTTCTGATTTCCAAATTACAAAGCCTCCTTCATGAGTCGGACACAGTGTGGTCTCTCCGGATTTAACATGCTTGAAATTTTACAGCGCATTACATCAATATAAAAATAGCTGCAGGCGCAGTTCCCCCAGAGTTTCCTCAACATTATCTGATGTAATGCTCCTCCTCGCACCCTTTGAGCTCTCCTCTGTGTTTCTCACTCGGTTTGGCTCTCTGCGTGTGAGTGGGAGACGAGCCTGTGATCGCAGCCTGTGGAGCGCTGAGCCGGGTTTCAGCGATGGGAGAAGATATTCTGCAGTGACCCGGGTACGAAACAGCCCCGGGTTGACTGTCCTGCACCGCCGACAAGGTCAAAGTGAATTTCAACACGTCTGATTTTCAGATATTTGAACAGCCGGCTCTAAAAAAACGTTTCCTCGCTGATTGGCTCATTGGTATTGAGCGTCTTCTCCTCGTTGTTGACAAAAGTGTGTTTTTTACGACCGAAAAGGAGAGACAAAGTGACTGAAATGAACCCTGAGCGGAGCTGTTTTTCGCCTTTTTATTATTCATACGAGGTGATTTGTCAGCGCTGAAAATTAAATTACCCGTGTGGTTGATATTGTAAAAGTAATTTCATTAGAGGGCAGAGCGGTGTGCTGCGTTACTGAAAAATGGAGAAGCTGAAACGTGCCGTGTGGTTGAGAGAAAATCCCTGAACTTCAGATGACCACGGACTTCTGATCTCATGAACAAACCGAAGGCGATTTTTATTTACTCATTAGAGAGACGTAACTTCTCTTCGTTCACGCTTCACTTCTGTGTGGACGTTTTTCACGGGAAATCGAGCAACATGCTTTCGGATCGTATTTCCTTTCTCTGGCGATATCGCAGAGCTCAGAGTGATGTGAACTTATTGATCGACGGCGTTTGATACACTCTCAGCTGAGTGCATTAGATGTGTATCTGCTGAAACTCTATTAATATTCTCCCCGAGTAGACTCGTCCACAGTTGAGGAGTCACGCTCGGAGGAAGCCGGCTGTCTTTGGATCGACGGAGGAGACGACGTCCGCCAAGAAACCGGAGAGGATGTTTATCAGATAAACATCTGTCAGACACGTCAGGATTACATCTGACCTGGATGCACTTTAGGCTTCATTTCTCCTGAAAGTTAAAGAGACAAGTCTGCAAATGAGATGAATCACAAAATTCATCTCTGTTAACCCAATATCTCAATTACGGAGGGCGAGAATTCATCAAACTTTCACCGCGTTGGATATTAATTCTGGGCTTTGACGAGTTGATGTTGGTTTTTTTAAACAAAGTGTAATTAATCAATCAGCCGATCAGAGTCAGGTCATGTCAGTACATCCATGCCTCAAATTTAAGCCTGTTTCATGTTATAATGTCGCTTCATTCATCCAGATCAGCTGCCGAGGACGAGTGAACAAGAGGAAACTGTTGCGTAATGTCCTCTGAGGCTCAGAGAAGCTTTTCAGTAACCTTGATGATGAAATCAGGGTTATTTCAGTCCAGGATCGGGGGGTTCTGATGTAAAACAGGAGGCCTAGACGTGGGCCTGGGCGATTCAGCAAAAAAATGATGACAATATATTTTGTCGTATCATCCGATCTCGATTATTATCAGGATTTTTTTTTTTAACTGCCAGTTTTAAAGTATCTGTACTAAAAACTAGAGAAACTAGAGATTAGTTCAACATTTTATAAACATACGAAGGAAATAACAAAACAATTAATTTAGATAAACTCAACAGAACAACAAACGTAGATAAATACTAAATAATACAGTGAATTAGTTAGAGTGTTTTTGCAGGTATGAAAGACCCCAAATAAACAAATCGCCCCCTAAGAGAGAATGAAAAAGCCTGAAACTGTTAACATTAGAAGATGTAAACGTAGATAATACGATTGATTGCTTTGGTCTAGTGGCTGCACCGCTAATTGTGGCTAAATTGCTAATGCTACTTGTTCCGTCAGCAGTGACAGGCTGTACAGACGCCGCTCGCATTTTCATACTTTCCACTAAATCAATCGGGAAGAACTTCAACTAAATAAGCAGATCTGATGAGTTGTCGGTTTTTAAAGGCACCAACCACCGATACATCTTACACATCGGTCTAATTGCTTGACGTCACTTTGGAGATACCCAAGCCACCGCCGTAAAACCGACATTGAATAACTTTTCATCTCGACAATAACATCTTTGAAGGATGACTCAAAGTCACGGCTGACATCTAATTTGCTGCCTCAGCTCCATGTTCAGTCATTCAGTTTACTTCTCCGGTAACTTACAGGAGTGAGCAGGAAAAGCTTGACTCTGATTGGCTGTTGTGACGCACATTTCCGCCATGTTTGATCGAGTAAATATGCTCACAGCTGATCACCGCGATCGAACTGACAAGGGCGGCAAATCCAGAAGCTTTTAAAATGAACACGTTTTGTCAGGATCTGAGTGAAGAGCCTTTTCTGGATCACCTGGAGACACCGTACGACTGAAACGGAGTTTGGTGGGGTTGAAACAAATATCAAAGATAGCTGCATAAATTCGGAGTCCGTGCTTTGGACGGCGAGGATGGATTCCGACGTAAACGTACGCCTCTTATTCAGAATAAAAACAAGATCCATCCTGGAGATCGATGACCGGACCATCGTGGGGCTTTGATTGTATCTTATGATCCTTTTGAAAAGACAGGGAGGACTATAACTCCTGGAAGATCGATCCCTCACATCATTTTCAGGGGCTTGTTTCTGTGTTACACAATAAACACTTTGGATTCACGGTGAAAATAGCTCACAATCTTCAGTGTGTCTGATTCATTCATTCAGAATCCGCAGTCACGACGTTGTTTACTCGTCACTTACGGAGGATTTGTCTCCAATGTTTTCTTTATTTATATCATTTTTAGATTTAATTGAAAACAAACTTATTGAATCTGTTGTATTCGGGGAGAAAACAATCTCAGGCCTGAGCTGCTCTGCCGGCTTACTTCATCAGAGACCTCCCAGAACAATACAGTCCCTATATTGTACCACGACGCCACGAACAATGGCGGCATATATTTTCTGTATCAGCCAGTTGTGCGGCTCGATAGCAGCCGCTTTGCTCCACATTTCATCTGATTATATCAGGGGGGTAAAGAGCCGAGGCAATATCTCTGAGCGCTGAAATCAATTTAACAAATGAACTAAACAAACTCGTCTGCTAATGTGTCCAACTCAAGGTTTTTCAGACGTTTGGGGGCGGGTTATTCCGTTTGATGAATCCTGAAAACGAGCCATCACATTCGCCAAACCTTTCAGGAAGTTGGGAATAAGTGGAGCAGAAATCAATGAGGAAAAATCAATCACCATCCTCGTTCATGTCAAGGCTCAATCAGAGATTTCTGACCGCCGCAGAGCAGCATGGGTAATTGTTGCTCTCTCCACTTCTGTACCTGAGAGGAACGCTGGGCGCTCGGTGGGACGAGGTAAAAGCAGGAAAGGAGACAACATAATGACTACTATTACCAAATGACTGCTGACAAGAAAGTGAAAGCTAATAGGCTGTATTATTAAAATTTAAGCCATTAGCTGTCAGACAGGGTTGAGTTTCAGAGAGCGCACACGTACCTGTATGTGGGAACGACTGTGAAAGGACGGTTTGAGTGCCGACATGTAGTTTATAGAGTTAGTGAAGGAGCCATGACGTTCAGCAGGGCCTGAAACTCTCTGTTCATTCTTTACAACAGAGGGAACATGTTAATTGGTACGCTGTGTGGAGTTTAAGTCCATTAGAAAAAAAACTCAATGTAACTCTAACGTGCCGTCATGTGACAGAGGTGGTATATAGTTATCAAGCTTTCTGTCGAGAATTGACGATTTATCAGTAATGCAGGAAATGGGATATAATATCTTTTTGACGCTTTATAGTAGTTGTTTAAAGGTGCGGTAGTCAGGATCTGAGGAAGTGCCCGTTTTTGGGAGAAATCTGTAAACTCTGCCCCTCCCCTCCCCCACAGCTCCTCGTTTTTCAGACAGGATATTTACGGTATGATACGAACATAATATCTGACAGCTCCACACCTCTTCATGTCTACGATCACGGGGAAACGTCGTCTCCGTCTCAGCAGGTTAACACTGGCGCCCTCTCTGTTTCCTCGACACCTTCCTCCATCGAGTGATTCTCAGAAAAACTTTCCCCCCGTTTTTGTC